TGAGGCCTGCCAAAGTCCCCGACTACGACTATTGCAGCCAAAAAGCCACACAAAAAAACACACAAATTACAAAAGGTGAGGTTTTTAAGGAAGAAATGGCAATAACTAAATGCAAGTATTTGGGGCGTAAAGTATTTTTGCAGCACTTTTCTTAAAAACTCTGTTAAAAGTTTGTTTTATATAATCTAATGATATGAAATGTGAAAGGGTCTCCTGCAGAATTGGGAATGATCTTGTAGCTCTACATAGCTTTATTATGATTGTCATACAGTCAACTCATTAGGTCAACCTCCTATTTGCTTTAATAAGCAAACAACTCTGATTATGAGCAGCATCAAAAAGCGTACAGACAAAGTTAGTAGCTGGTGAAGACAGTTAAACTGCTTAGATTCTGATATTCTCCATAGGACTGGGTGGAAATACAAATATATCAAACAAAAACTGAATATTGGACTTACATTCATCGGGAACCACGACTCAAATTGGATGTTGGCGTTCCTTAATGTCTCGAACACGTAAGCCGCCATGTTGATGTTCCTCGCGGCTGGTTTGAAGGTCTTCAGCCCCCTGGTAAAATACGTTAAAATTGATTTGTCAACACTGGAAGGCCGCATATGTCAAATAAAAGCAATTACTATGGTTAATATAGCAGATGCTTTTGTCAAGAGTGACTTTCAATAAGTGCAATAAACTTCTACCATAAAACAAGAGCTTAAACAAAAAGGTTTTCAGAATCTTTAATAGCAGAATACTTTTGATTTCCCCAAGGGGATATTAGGTTTGGGACAGCTGCACAATGTAGAATACAAAAAAAAAGGTTTTGTAAACATAAGAAGTTAAAGTTTGAAATGCTTCGGTGATTCAGTACAATGATTTAAAAATAATACACTTTTTTTTACAGTAAATACTGTTGCCATAAAGTGATAAGTACAGGATAATGGTTCATGCTACAACTTGCAGTATCATAATGTCAATAAACCACCTTATCCCTTATAGAGCGATATCAAGCTAAATATGCCAACATTTGATACTGGTCATACAAGACCAAGCATACCTGTTCAATAATTGAGATGTGGTGTATGTGATTTTAATGTATTGATAATAAATTAAACATTTTACTGTGCTTTTTCTTTTCAACAGTTACATAGCCTTGCTGTACTGTGGTTTGCCAAGTTATTACGGTATTGGTAGTAAACAAACTAAAGGAAAAGCCATTTGGCCAGAGAGCACAAAGGTCATGCTGGGGTTCAGGGTTTGAACAGAACATGAAGGGAGCACCAGAGTCTCTCTACTAGGAGCAGGAGTGGTGAAATAAAAAACCTGAGCACACCTTTGAGCAGACTAACGTCCAAATGTTGCCCAAAAGTCAATTTCAGTGTAATCAATTTAAGCGTTGTACTTATTGGATGGAAGACTGCCATAAGATAAAGTTATAAACCTCAGCCACAACAACGACGGACAAGCTTTGGCTGACCTCACCGTAAGTCATCGTCTAGCCGGTGTGGTATTCCTTTTCCTATGTACATGTATTGAGAAAACCGATGACTAACAGATGGTGGACCAATCAAATGAGTCATTTGAGTTGTAAAGCTATGACATATACACATCATTGTCTCCGCTGGTGTGTGTTTAAGGGGTCTCCTGTTGGCATTACCATCCCACCGACTCCCCAAGTATGACTCACAGGCTTGTTACCCCCAAAAAACGCAGACGTTAGTGCGCTGGCTTGTCTTTATGCTGTAGCAGGGAAATCTGGTGCGATGCTGCTTGGTATCTGGGGTTTGTCCGACTCGTCTAGCCAGTCCTAAGCAGTGGGATTCTGAGTGTATGAGTATGTGGTCAAATGGTCAACTCTGTCAACTCAGAGGAACCATGATAAAATCTTAAATAAACAGAAATGGTGTTTGGTAAAAACAACAGTCTCCCGATCCCTGCTCGTCTAGAAGAGGTTTACCACTACAATTGCACGTTCTACTGTGACAGAAACAGCAGGCAGGAATGTAACCCACATTACTGGACAAAGAGGACATATTCCTCCGGATTGCTACCAGCATGTGTTTTTGTTTTCATCCTTTGGTCTGTAGCTGCATTCCTTTCCCGTGTGTTGTGCGAGACGGAGAGATTGCCGGAGAATGACTCACTAAAACCTGACCCAGCACTGAGCTAACCACTGGAGGAAGCTTGGAGTAAAAGTGAACTTTGATGGTGATGGTTGGGATCATGTCTAGGAATCCCCAGACAGTGTGGAATAGTGCGATAAGTATGCGTGGGATGACATAATTCCTGTTCACCAGTCCAGTCCATGTGGTGGTTTGTGTTCGGCCTCCTCATAAAAGACCCACAACCCATTACAGAGTCTCTCCACACAACCTTGATAGGGTAAATGGAAATAGATGCTCAACCCCCAAAAAGTCATTCATTCATTTTGAAGAAATAGTAATCCAACTAAATGTGTCACCAAAGAAAATCTGAGGAATGATGAATTGACAATTAGAAATCTGAACTCAAGACTTCCTGGACTTTCCTTGAGCATTAAATATACACGGCCTGGTCGCTTTATTTGGTACGACCATAAGTCCAGTTCAACACCACAGCTACATAGTTAAATGTACAACTATTTAACCATTTTAATCCAAACTAAACACACTTTCTTATTGGATTGCACATGAGTCTCTTATAATGTGTACATTTTTATTTACCATGATCTTCTGGAAATGTATAAGATGTTGAGTGTTGCTGCTTGTGTTGATATTCAGTCAATGGGGAGCAGACATTGTTTGTTATGCAGCATCACCTGCTGGCTTAATGGAGAACTGCCAATATTACAGTAATTACCAAAAGATAAGAGTAAAGCGGTAGCAACATAAAAACAGAACAGATCCTTAATGACAAGAGAACAACAAAATCTTCACTTGAAAGGTAGAAAGTAAACTTAAATATACCAAATTAAGTTAAAGTTGTAATCACTAAGTTGTGTCACACACACACTGGACTTTTTTTTTAAAGAGGTGACGAGTCACTTGGTAAAAAAAACTATTAAAAATGACTGTTTTATCTCAGTTTTCCTTAACTTGACTTTTGAGATAAGCTAGAATGCAATGCAACAGAGTCACCATGAAGGACTGTGGGAAAGTGTTTGACGGCTCAGCGACTAGCCCTTGTCCTAAAATAGTTTCACAATAGCTATAAAGACATCTCATTGCCTTATTGGATCATGGAGAAGCCCAAACAGCCATTTAGGGTTTGGATCGTTCTAACATCACTGTGACAAATGTATGAATGAAGACATTGCAGTCAGAGCTTGGTTCTGCTTGGACAACAGATACTGAGGAGCTTTATCATTAACATACATGGGCCTTTTACGGTACATCTGCTTGAACAGCACTATGGAGCTTTATTGAAACTCATATTTACAACAAGGGCTGAATCAAGCCCACTTTTATGTAAAACCTAAATAATTCCCTCTTTCACAGATAAAGTGACGTTAAAATGAATTGCATGCGGCTTTTCCACAGCGACAACTGACTATAAGAGGAAAATAAAAGAAAGACAGGAGGTGAGAGCATGGGAGGGTGCATTAACATGAATTATGTATTCATTCGAGTATAATGGTGAGTTTAGGCAGGGACGACGTTATTCTAACTTAATGTGTAAAAAACTTCATATTCATCTCCAGCATAATGAATCAAGAAAGTTTGCATAAGTAAACACAGTCACCTGGGCGTCTGACTTAAAGCCAAATATTTACCAAGTTTGGACATTGTACAAAATTATTCTTGCTATGCAAACTGGTGGGCAAAAGAAACATAGTGAAATACCAGACCCCATGTTTGGGTACGGGGCCTCCAGCGGTTGAGTGAGCTTTGACCTAAAATAGGTCTGAGAATGTGGATATGCTCCATGAATAGAGATAAAACAGACTACGGAGGGGGGGAAAATCAAGAAGATAAAATAACTTAAGGGTCTGCAAATAAACCTTCAGAGCATGAAAATGAATGGTGTGCGGTTTGCAGAGGGCATGGGAAAATCTGCACTGACAGATTTACAGTTATTCTGAATGGTAATGCAATCATGTTAGCAGAATGAATCTGAAAGGGGTCCTGTAATTTGACAAAATGTCCGGTAATGTGCGGTTCTTTTCAAGATGAGACCAGGCAAGCAGCAACAGCAGGCAAAAAGGTTGATTTTTTTCTTTTATGGTATGTATATTTGTATTGTCCACAAAACACCGTTATTTTTCAAGTGTTATGGTTGCTTACACAGATACTTTTATTTTTTCCCCAGGCAAGTGTTAGGCACAATTTCCATATTGATAAACATAGCAATTATGTATAAACTTCATGTCCTACATTTGACTATTGTGTTGGTCTTTACAGTATATTACTTTATAAGACAATTGTCTTTGAATCAGTCGGCCTGTGGGAGGACAATCAAAAGTAAATATACAATTTTACTGTTTTCCAGATGCTAAGGGGATTCAAACGTGTATTAAAATATGATACTATTAGACAACTATTTAATAGAGAAGGTGCATTTCTTAGATAAGGTCAGTGAATGTAGACACCTGCTATTACTACACTTCCCCACTAGAGGGTGCACGACCCAGGCTGAAGTAACCAGAAAGACCAACTGATTTGAGATCTCTAAAATCACTAATAATCCCATCTGATATATAAAACACATTTTTCAACAACAAACACCAACGAAGACACCATACCAGCTATGTCTCCACTTTAGATGCCTTAATGAAGGAACAACTGGTGAGAATATTAAAGCCAAGTCTTTCCAACATCATAGAGAAGTGCTCATATGATTGACGCGATCAGGAAACACAACGAGTATACATGTTTATAGTTTCACAGCTGATGTGTGGTGCATCCCACTGAGCGCAGTTATGATCTGGGCTCCCCCTGCGGTCCCTCCTCCATCAAACGTCAGAAAGTAGCGGTATAAAACACGTGAGGCCACAGCAAGCGCTCAGAGTCGCTTTACCCCGTGAACCTGACAGCCTGCGGTCTGCCTCCGCACGCACACACAATAACGCGGCACTACATTTTAATGAGACAGAAAAGAGGAGAAATATGCCAAGCCGTGGGACGACTTAAATCTAGTGGATTGAGCAATAGAATGCAAATAAAACTGTGTGTGTTTCTACACATACATTTGTGCCGGATACATTCATATATGCGGGATAGTTTCTGTTGTTCGGGACTTTGAATTGAGTAATGCCTAATGGGCAAACACACACTTGGATTTCTGCTTATAACAAAGGGAACTGCCGCAAGAAAACGAATTAAGTGAGGATTTTTTTCATCATTAGTTCCAAAGAAAGTTGAAACTAACATCAAACGGGCATTTGGGTTTAACTTTACGACGTATTTACACTGACATTGGCAGTTTGTTTATCTGCATATTTTCATTACCGGGCGAACCAAATGCAGAGAGAAAGATGCATTTGGGAAAGGCTTTGCTGTTTGTCCTCCTCCTCAACTGCGCGACTTTGAGCTCATCTCTTTCAACTTGTGCCACTGTGGATATCGACCACGTAAAAAGGAAGAGGGTCGAGGCGATACGAGGTCAGATTTTGAGCAAACTCCGACTGACAAGTCCTCCACACTCCCTCGGACCGAGTGACGTCCCTTATCAGATCCAAGCGTTGTATAACAGCACCAAGGAGCTTCTGGAGGAGCTGCGGAGGGACCGGCAGCAGAGCTGCGGTCAGGACAACACAGAGACAGAGTACTATGCCAAGGAGATATACAAATTCAACATGGTCTACGGACCGCCAGAAAGCAGTAAGTACGACGATATAAGTATGAGGAAGTTATGATTGTATCACTTTCTTTTTTAATGACAGTAATCAACGTGAATGTAGTGCGTAATTACGCGCCAAATTAAAGCCATCTCAAAAAGTTGCTGCCAAGCATAAATATGAATGGCTGAGTTTAATGCTGCACCCTAAAGACCCCCTATCCATAAGGTCCAAAAAAAAATATTTGTGTGTTTATGTTTTTCCACATAAAGTTCAATTATCCATTTAAAATCATAAAAGTATATAAACTATCCAGATTTACAAAAGGTGCAAACAGTCTTCATTTAAAAAGTTTAACTCTTCGAGAGGAGATGTTTTCTACTAAATGTTACGTTTATTTTCAATATAATCGAGCCTTCAAAGTTCCACATCACAGGCGTGGGAGTTGCAGAGTAGACCTTTCCAGACTAGTTGTGATGTCACACATCTTGTAGTTACACGTGTTCAACTCAGACTTGATGAATGTGAAGTTGAATGTTATCGTCAAACTCTGTACATAAATCATCCTGCAGCTCAGGCATCCAGGTGAGGAAACAATAGGGAGTGGGACCTGATGAATAATGAACCTACATTCTCTTTAAAAAAACAGAAGACGGTTTTTGATACTGAAAGTTGAACTTGTTGGAGGATGTGCATTGTTACTGCAGTGCTCACCAACCTGTTTTAACTCCACTGTTCCAGGAAAGTGGCTCTCCTCCTCCTCACTCCCCTCTTCCTCCTGTTTTTTTTCCCTCCGTGGACTCTGTCCTTCTCCCCATATGTTCCCACTTCCTTTCCAGTCAGTCCCAAATGAGAGGGACATCTGCCCAGGCTGATGGGGATGCCTGTAGGAGAATGAGTAGGAAAAGTTAACAGAGGTGGACAGGAAAGAAAATTGAGATGATGGAAGGACCTCCCCATTAGTCTGGAGTCTCTGTACGGCAGGAAAGGGGTCCCATACTCTGACACGTCACTACCACCCACCTCCCAATCGAGATGGAGATTAAAGTGACCCCACTTCCTGTCTTGACCAGTGAATAACCCACATGGGTGGCCCATGAGCATGAGATCACTTACTACCCTGCTCAGGTCTAACGTTGCTAAATTGAGTGTGAAACTGACTGGCATCCATCCTCTTAAACCTGAATAATTCCACTGTGCCGCATTTCACTGCTTGGTTAAAAATGTGATTTATTTTTGTTTATGAACTATTTAGTAAAGGCCTGTGAGATTCACATTCTTGTGATTTGTGCTAAACTTTATTTGGCACAACTATTTCCTCCTATAGAAATAAAAGCCAGGAACTGGAAGTGGAAAACCTTTGCCGAGGGGGACATGTGTCAGCACTTGAAGCAGATTCATACAGCATGTGGTCCGACTGAGTTTGGATTACGGAGAAAGTAGAATAGGATAAATTCTGTGCGTGAGTAAAAGCCAAAGAGGGCCTCTTGGTTCAGAGCAAAGCCAAGACCATTGCATCACAGTCCCTTTGAAATCAACAGGTGCTTCTCAAAAGACCTATTTTCCCTCAGCAATGTTCTGTTTTGAATCTCACAAAATAGTGCTGAAAAAAATGGCAGGCAGTGCCCAGAGTTGATGTGGTGGTTTCATTCCTGGATTCAGTCACAGATGGGTTTTATAACGCAAGAAATATCTGCATTCAACTACCTTTTTCTAGCAGTTGGGTAAAGATTGTAGTTTGCTTTTATATTAATATTAAGTCCTTCATGCCTGCAGAAAAACAAATAGAAAAAAAGGCAAAATCGTCAATATATCTGCGTAAGTGCTGAGCTGACATACGTGTCTGAATGTGTGTGCATTACTCACTATATACTTCTCAGATACTTAAAATGTAGACCAGCTATTAATATTCTCCAATTTTGACTTAATCCTAAAACTGTGGTATTGGCATGGCAGTGTGTATTTTTTACGTGTCTTATATGATCTCATACTTGGAAATATGCATGTTGTCAATACCCTGTATATCTACATGCATACACAAACTACTCACTGATGCTGGTTAATGTGATTTTCATGTGTAGGAGCAGGAAAGAGGAACCGTTTAGAGTTCAAGAGTTTTTCGTTGTTGTGTTAAACTCCTATTTTACCCTGGTGTTTTTTTCTTCCTTATTTTCTTTTTAAATGCTGCTTTCAGAACTGTTGTTCGCATCAACAGCCCCATGTCAAATAATGTTCAGATATCATTTACTGTATTCAAATGTTGTTAAATCAGTTTGGTGGAATTAGGGAAATATCATGGTTTGGATTTATAATATTGACTTTTTTGATTAAGTGTGAATTTTGACTTGATCAATAATACCTACTTCATTTACGTTAGTAAAGCTTGTTTGTCACAGTGACAATAATAAACACATTGGTCAAGAGATTGATCAATGTCATGCCTTGTCTTGTCCAACATTGTCTTTACAATCATGGCACTCTTTAATTGTCTACCGTGTTAGAAATGGATGATTTATTGACACATCCTTCCACACCAACCATTTCTCCTCCCATTTTGCCCCCATCATAATTAACATGGCTGATGGGTTTAGGGCACTGTTTTTCAAACTTTTTCATACCAAGGACCACTTAACCAATAAAAAAACACTCGCGGACCACCTAACTCCACAGATATCCAAAATCACATCGTTTTTCTAGAACAGATTACAAATCGCCTGGAAATGGTACAAACAAGTGGCAACATGTGTGATGAAGGTGTTGCGCTGGGCTATATCATGCAATCGAAAGTGAAACTTAAGCTCGCTCCATTGCGAAGATATTCCCGCGAGAGTTTGGAAAACTTAAATGTATTTATTTATTTCAAATGTGAAATGTTACCAATATACTCACGAACCACTAGGGGGCGCTCACGGACCACCAGTGGTCCGCGGACCACACTTTGAGAAGCATTGGTTTAGGGTTAGGTCAAGGGTCATTCTTTGCACTGAGCTTATGCTAACAGGCTGATGGCTCTAGCTTTATATTTATTGTACAGACATTAGTGCTATCAATGTTCTCCTCTAACTCTACAAGAACGTTTTGAACTTTTCCTTTAAGATCCGGTAGAAACAGTAGTCTGGAAGTGTTATAAAGACACAGACAATTTAGTTTGTTGTCCCTTATGGCATGACAGGACCTGAAGTCTAGCTCTGTGGGATAAAGTTTGACTTTGAGCCAGTGACATCAGTCTCTTTCCCTTTGTTATTGTGGGCTAACACACACTCACTTTTGATGGTTTTTAATCATAAACTGTTGACCTGTAGTGGATCTGAGGCAGTTCTGTGGACCAACATAAATCCGTGACAGGTGCAAATGAAGCAGAAAGCTGTTGGCAGACTGGCAAATTACTACATTGAGAAGCTGGACTGCAATCATCGGAAAGATTTCCTTTTATAGCATGGCACGCATACAGAATCTGGCATATGTCAATGACGGAGGTTGGGTTGTGGAGAAGTCATCATGGTCAGAAAGGGGTTTGGGGCCAACATGTTGTCAGTGGCCCAGAGGACAGCAGGGTTTTTGATACGCAGGGACGTGAAGTTATGCTCAGCTCAAAAATATAGCTTTTTCAATTACAACATTTATATTTCCACCAAAAATAGACAAAATGTTTTAGAGAAACGTTGAGGAATTTTGATAAGGCAGGCATTCATTGTGGGCTGATAAACTTTGTGCCAGCCATTAAAGAGTCCCAATATCATATTTTAGGTGTGAAGGAGTATATAAATCCTTGATACATTACATTTTCTATTGAGAATCCATGTCATTATTTTCATACTAAAGACTGGCTTATTTCTGAAGCAATTTGATCAAGTCAAGAAGGGAATAAACCAACCATTGCCAAAAACATTACTCAGCCACTTAAGTGTTCTTCAATTGTGCGTTGTGGATGGAGAAAGGCTTTAACAGTGAGAGTTATTAAATTAAGCTATAAATAGTGGTGAATTAATAAATAAGCCGATCAAAAAATAACCAAATAATTGTTCAAGTTTGAGCTCCTTAATTTTGAGGAATGCTCTATGTTGCTATGTATGTTTGCTATTGATATGCTTCGGCTTTGGAGTGTTGATGAAAATAATTTATTTCATCCCAGGCTTGAAATTTGGAAAGGCATATTGTCTCTACTTTCTGACATATAATAATATATAATAGATCAAATGAAAAAGTAATTTAATAGAGAAAATAGCTGGCAGATTAATAATACAACTTTTTTGTTTTATGGTCGCACATTCTCCCTAAGGATAAGTAATTATTGTATGGAGGAGAAATTACATATTTAAACCAAAAAATGAAGGATGGCTGAATTGCTTAGGTTTCAGGGTTCTAGTTCAGTGCATGCTGGCTCACTATTACAGTTTACTGGAACACTCTAATCCATTGTGAATGTTTTTGTCAAATCTGCCTCTCAAAATGTCTGCTATGCTTTTCTCCTACATGAAAACTTTTAATTCAAGCTCATAACGCAAATATGTGATTATGCTGTCCAGAGGTCATATAGCATTTGGGTTCTGTGTTTAGGACATCAACTGCTTTTTATTGCACAGGCCTTGACGAGAATTTACAAGCCTGATCTCTCACACACACCTTATAATTTGTTCTCTTTGTTCCAGACGATCTTCTTTACTGCCCAAAAGGCATCACCTCTAAGGTTTTCCGCTTCAACGTCTCTGCCATGGAAAGGAACTCTACCAACCTCTTCAGAGCGGAGTTTCGAGCTCTGAGGGTGCCAAACTCAAGCTCCAAGAGGAACGAACAGCGGATCGAGCTCTACCAGGTGCGTAAAGGTACCGTTTCCTTGTCCTTCTACCAAGATAAAAGGCCAAGCTCAGTACAGGCAACAAGGAGCTTCAAAATCTATTTTTCCTGAAATGTGATCTTTGTTACTAACTAGTTAATAATATTATTTTGTCTGTTACATATATTACGTAAGCTGGTTAGTTGTTAACCACGATTTCAGGCCCTTATAAACAAACAGAGCCAACTATAATGAGAACAAAAGCCAAAATGCTCAACAGGCCTGCACAATGTTAGTAAAACCGAGACAGGGGTACTCTTAACTCAGCGCTGGCTGCCCAGATCTAATACAGTTCTCATTTTGGTTATGTAGAGGTCTTTACCATCAAACCACAAAACCGTTTGAAACGTTCATTAAGCTGTTAAAAAAAGGCCCTGGTCTGTCGAGTGATAAAATGATACACTCTCTACAAGTTGTAGCCAATGTCGTCACGTCCCTGTTCTTTAGTAGTAATATCCCCGGCATTAAGTAGCCAATTCAAAGAAAAATACTGAGATAAAATACAACCAGGCACCACTTACAGACACTCTGGTCAGGAGTGATGTCAAGATAATGCCAAACACAGAATTATGCCAAAGGCAACTGCCAACATTAACTTAAACAGCAACATTTGGACCAAGCAAAATACAAAATCACATTTGAGAGAACACACAGAACAACCACCATTATGATATCTATGATCTTTTTTTGTAATGTGATTTTGTAATGCTTTTAACTAATCGTTTGTTCTTATTTGAAATTGACTGTATGATTAAATATAGCTGTTTTTCGACAAACCTGGGTTAACCAACAGAAGGCAGCTATTTGTTTTGTAAACAAGCTTTGAAAAACTAACAATGCCCTACCTGGCAAAGAAACAGCATTAAACAGAGACAATACTAGCATTTAGTTAGCTAGCTAGAGAAGAAAGTTGCTAGTAAGCTAAGCCAGATACAGTATTCTCCCCAAGGAAAGACAAACAGAGCAAAAAGAAGACTGAACATTGGACTTACATTCATCAGGTGGATACAAACATGACTCCAATTCAATGCTAGTGAAGCTTTTTTCTGCAGAATGTGTACGTAGGCAGTGGCTTCCAAACATGCTAACATGTAAGTCAGGCAGTCTGTGCGCAAGCAGGAAAAAACCTGCCAGATTTAAAAGCTCAGCCTATCTCCTGGGTGTTTAGAATTATTTTTGCTAATCAGTCCTCTGCTAGGTTGAAGGTGGGTGGAGTATACGATCATCTGATTCCATTAACCAATCAGAAGGATAAGGGTTTAACCTGTCCCACCCAAACAGGTGCAACAAAGCTAGCAGTTGAGTAAGGGATATATCAATCAAGCTCTGTCTGAGACAACCAAACAATTTATCTACAAACCCTTATTATGCATCGCAAAAAAGCTCTATATATTCAGTAGTAGTTCTTACCTTAAGGGATGTATTTTCTGTCGGTCAGGTTCCAACATGCACACAGTATGATAGCATAATAATGATGAGCATATTAGCAGGCTGATGTTTGCATCTACCGAAAAGCAAAGTTAACATATTATTATAATTGCTTTACAGATCGTGAGGCCAAACGAACACATTAGGAAACAACGGTACATTGCAGCCAAGAACGTGCTGACCAAAGGAACTCCAGAGTGGGTCTCCTTTGATGTGACTGAAACCGTGCGGGAGTGGTTGACAAACAGAGGTGAGACTGAGGTCACTGTCATGTGTTGTTTCTTAAAGCTATCAGTAATCCTAATGACTAACCCATGTTTTGAATTGTGGGTTTTGAGTTTTAAAAAGGGAGACTTGACTTTCCTTTGTTTGCCATCAGGAAGCAATCTTGGTTTGGAAATCAGTGTGCACTGTCCCTGCCACACCTTCAACCCAAATGGTGACATCATTGACAACGAGAACGAGGTGCTGGAGGTGAAGTTCAAAGGTGAGCTTGAACAACTGTTCATGTAATTATTTGTATGCGTTGTGTTTGTCTGTCTTTTGATCCAATGTCTGTACATTTTAATGTGTTCTTGCTATCATACCATCCTAAAGAAGCAATGGATATGTATGTGGTTCTTAGCCTTACAATTTACACGTTTTAAATATGCACTTATTCTGGTACATAATCCCAGATAATTTGTATTTTTCTCACTTTGGGGAGCTTGGTACAGTATGGTATAATTAGAGGTAAGGTTGATGATTGTCTTTATGTTGTTGCCTTGGTCAACTTTCCCCTCAGTGGCTTTAGAATAAACCTGCAATGAAAATATATTGGAAAAAAGGCAGTTTTTTTCTCAATGTTTTCATTTCTACATTGTGTAAAAGAATGACAGCTTTATAGTCAATAATTTCGCAAAATTGTATGCTCGGATTCAGGGAAATGACGAAGGAAAAAAAGCCACTACAGTACATGTGTTATTTTAAGTACATGATATCTATAATTAAGGCGTGGATGGAGATGACGAGCAGAGTCGCTTGGATCTGGATCACCTGAAGAAGAAAAAGGACCGGTACCTGCCTCACCTTATCCTCATGATGATCCCCCCCCCACCGCCTGGAAACTCAGACCACACGCCGACGCAAGAGAGCGCTGGACACAAACTACTGTTTCTCGTAAGGATACGTACATCATTTTAAGCAATAGTGAGAATTTAGTCTGAAGCCAGTTTATGTAACTTCCTGTGAAATTGTTTATAGGAATAGCTTGTGATAATGATTTTTGTACTTAAACACTTTATATCCCAAATATATGCTGCTATATACGCTGAGACATACTGTAACTGGTAGCCCATACAAATAGCCAAGAAGATATGATGAGCACCATTACGACAATACATTTGGTGATTAACTACGCTATTATTGTGCAACCTTTTCACAGAAACACGGAGGAGAACTGCTGTGTACGTAAGCTCTACATTGATTTCCGGCGTGACTTGGACTGGAAGTGGATCCATGAGCCGAGTGGTTACGATGCCAACTACTGCTCCGGGCCCTGCCCATACCTGAGGAGCTCCGATACAACACACAGCTCGGTATGAAACATCGATATGGGATTAAGTAAATAGGAAACATTTCATTATAGCTGTGAATAACCATGCAGATAGTTCTAATTTATCTGCCTCCATCTATAGGTCTTATGAGGACTAAACAAATAGTTCCTATATTTCAAACAAGCACCTTTAGACAAGTAGACAGCAGTTTGAAGACGCAATCTCCCAGAAAATGTTAAAAATAATTGATATTAAAATTAGCTAATTTGTTTATTTGGTCATTATTAAGTCTTCTTGATGAATTCTCAGTGATGTATCTCAGTATTTACAGATATTGAGAGTTGAGTGTAACTAGCCAACATATTTTGAAGACTCCATTACTCATGAGATAGTTCATATAATGCAATCTCTCCTGTGGTCTTTACAATAGATGCTGAGCCTGTACAACACTCTAAACCCCGAGGCATCGGCCTCCCCATGCTGTGTCCCTCAGGACCTGGAGCCCCTCACAATACTCTACTACTCTGGACGGACCCCCAAAGTGGAGCAGCTTTCCAACATGATCGTCAAGTCTTGCAAGTGTAGCTGAGAAGACGTGAAAGGCGAGGTAGTGTGGCACGATTTTACCAGGAACTGACGAAAGAAACCCATGCTCGTTGACTTTTGGACTCTTAGCTGTGACAAATACTTAAACTGACCCTGTGGCATCATGGCTTAGATCTGAACACCACTGGAGGTCACACAGGATGCAGATATTCCTAAAAACTTGAGGTCATCACTTCTTTCCTTTTTTTTTGGGAGGTGATAATAAGTAGATATTTTTATCTTAAGAACTCCAAAACAAATGCCATCTTGCAATTAAGAATTTCATTTAGTTCAAGTCAGAATAACAAACATCTTTTTGTTTCTTCTGGCCGCACCTATGATATTTAGTGGTCTTTTTTTTGATCACTTACAGAAATTGCCAGTAATTATTTGCCCCAGAAATGTAGCCATAAAACCCAGATTCTAATACTGCAAATGCAAGGGCTCGATCGCCATTGGTTACCTCATTTGGCATTGATAGTTGTCTAAATCTTTAAAATTAAAACGTCAAATATTTTCTTCTAGATTTTTGAGGGTGGACAACATAATCCTAAAGGGAGCTGCTTCCTGGATAATGGATGAACAAGACTCATTTTGTGATATATTCTCTGCTTCAGAGTTCAAGCAAGTATTGCAAACAGCTTTAGTCTCTACATTTTCAGTAAAGCAGCTTTCATGCCTTTAGACTTCGGATGATATAGTTTATAGTCACAAATAAAGATTGTGCTCTACTGAACGGTTGAAAAGTCCCTTCAGGCTGGATTTTACCTTGACTTTGCCTTGAGTTCCCTTCCCTTCAAACAGTGAACATTATCTTCAAACACAAAAGGAGAAAGGACAGACTTGCTGCTGTATCCAAAGCCATAGCTGTGGTCAGGGAAAAGGAGAGCTGAGAGAATGCCTGCTGGATTTGCAATGGAAAGTGAATGAACAAAGAAGTTGAGCCAAGCTTTTCTTATTTTGGCCAGCCAGCAGCAATGGCCTATTTTTTTTTTTTTGCGGTGCATCTACAGTATTAGAATGGATGGAAGAAGAAGAGAAGGAGGAGGAGACCTGTGAGGAAGAGAAGAACTGTGATGGAAACAAGCCATGAGCACTCTGCCATTCACTGGAAGTTCTCATCTCTAACAGGTTCAAATTATTTATGGGACATCAAAGAATATACTGGAAAAGAACATGTGTTATGCAACAGGTTTTTATGGGATTTCTTTTACATTAATAGCAGATTTGGTCTGTTATTTCACTTGTCATATAGTGATTGTTTCACTAACTGGGGCAACAATTCACGTGTATCTCCATTGGTGGAAATACTTATATAATAGGGTATCGTTTCATTTCCTTGTGATTTAGAAGCTTTTTGTCTATGTTTGTCTGTGATCCAGTATATATCTGCCCAAAGTCTCTATGACTATTGCCAGAAAGTTTAATAGGAGCCCTTTTTCTCTGGCAATAATAGGAAATGGCATGCAGCCATTTAAAAAAAAATGATACTCAACTATCAACTCACCTGTCACTCCAGCCAGCGTCAAGGAATCACATGTGAAGTCAGGACCAGAAACACTGCAGTCTTTCATTCCCTCTGCTCCGTCTCTGTTTGTTTTGGTGCTCTTTAACAGTGTAAAGCCCTAATGGAACAAAAAATGAAGAGGGAGGGGAAAATAAGTCTTTACATGGCTTGATGTACAGTCGATTTTTCTCAGAGGCAGGAGAACGATCCTAAATCCCTGTTCTGTTTGCCCACTCAGAGCCATCTTACCTTTAGATGACATTTAAGTGACGTTTTTGACAGTAATGTTGTTTGATTGACTTGTTGATCGTGATTGTTATTAAAAACACACCATGCATAACCTGTATGAGCCATTTTTAAATCTTAGGAATCCCTCCAGCTTTGCATCCCATTAATGATATAATCAAATGTAATGGATCTGTTCAAACATTTAACAACTTGGGAACTGATGAATTTACCCACTGGTCCTGTCTGCCATGTTGAAATGCCATTTAAAATGCTATTTTCTCATAATGTTTTGGTTCCAACGAACATAATTCTTCTCACTTGAATCTCACCAGTCCCACCTGTTTCCTGCAGGCGCATGCAGAGGCTTTTTTTTTTTTTTTTTTACCAGAGCAATAAATTACAATTTCTCTTTCTATGGGATTGTTACTTAACTGCTTTCCCAGGCAAAAAGCAATTACTCTTATTTACAGTGCATATTAATGCGCAAAAGTCTCTTTCGTTCCTTATTGTTCATTAAATGGTTATTACTATAAATCTTAAATAAACCTGACAAATGTATTTTTCATTTGGTACCACTTCACTGACACACTATAATTCATCAGGAAGACCATTCCGATTAACCCTTTGACCTTTGCAAAAGAGCTGCTGAGCATCTGGACCAATTAAAAGTATTAGTTAAACTCAATGCATCTGAACTCAAAACTTACTCCTATTTTGAAAGTTAGAAACTCATGACCCTTTGTGATTTAATTCATATAATTGATGTTGAATGTTAGAGGCATTAGTTTTTTTTATGAAGGTGAAAAATTCTCTGGCCCTGCCAAACCGTAACCCAAATATTGCTCTTAATAATAGTTAATTATGGGTCTATTTAGCATTAATAAAGCATTACTAAGGGTGGCTGACAGCACACATTTTAATATCATCTTCTCTAGTGGACTGGCAATCAGTGCACAGATTTTTGGGTGGCGCTGGTTTGAGCTAATATGGACTGACACATAGCCAGAGAGAATTCCCTTTCTCTGTGTGCCCGTTATTGTTCCCTGTCACAATCAATCAGAGATGAACCATGATGAAGATACAAAGACCAGAGGGCATGACGAGGTCTAAAAACAGGGGTCGGGCTTTAATGGCTTTGCAGACCGCCCTGTACAAACAAACACATTACTGGTAAAGAGCAGCCATAGCTCATGCATGATTTACTTTTAACCTTCAGAAAAAGTCATGCCACTTACTTACACCTAAGTCCTCAAATATCCAGTAATAAAACCAAGGAACGATCTCTCAAGATTAGTATTACATAACTGCTCTGAGTTAAATTTCACTGGTTGCTTTCACTGACCTAATACTTCATTAGGTCTGACCTAATACTTCATTATGTCAGTAACGGCAACCACAACTCGGTTTCAGTGGGTGGAATCGCAGTAAGAGTAAAATAATAAATCAAATACTTCCAGAATATCTTTTTCTGATGTCTGAAATGATAGCAGGCTGAGGGGTTAGCCATGGAAAGGCCTTTCTTAACACAGGCAGCAGCTTGGCTTTGGTCTTTCTATTCTTGCAAGGAATCATTTTCGCTCACTGGCTAGCCACATTGTTCAGCAAAACACAACACAGTCAGTGAAACGCTCACAGTGAGGGACACACAGTCAAGCTGATGGGATGTGCTCATTAAATGAGAGACGGAGGTGTTGTCTTAATATTTATGATTTGCTTTCATCAAGGAGGCACACTTCGCAATATGACAAGAAGGTGGTTCTTGAATCTCTTGCGAAACCTTAATCCAAGTAATTGTATCTCCTCCTGCCGCTCTTCTTTAATTGCACACTTCTTTCTTGATCTTGGCTTTGATTGAGAGCAAAAAGACACTCAAGGATTGTTTGAAGATGCAGACACTGTTTGCTCCTTCTGGGGGCAAGTTGACCACCTCAACCTCTAACCTGCTGTAAAGCTATTTCTAGCTCCGGGCTACTGGAAGAGCCATAATCTGATCTGAGTTCAGGGTCCGTTTCTGGGTTGGAGTCTGACTTTCTCAGAACTTGTGCTCTTCCACGACTTACCAATGATGAATTGCATGACACGTAAATGCACAGAGGTTTGGAAAACTGCGTCTGCTGCTATTCCCTGAGCAGATTAACAGATGTGGAGGGGGGGGGGGGGAATTTAGAGGGGGAAGTGAGAGACAGACACAGACTGGGAAAGTGTGTGTGTGTGTGTACACGAGAGAGAGAGAGAGAGAGAGAGAGGGACTGTTGCTGCAATAAAATCATCAGGTCACATAAGACCAGTTCTCAGGCCCCAGGGTGGAAAGATTTGTGTAATTTAGCAATAGGGAGAGCACGTACAAACACACACACACACACGCACACACACACTGTACATATACAAGTCAAGCCGGCGGCCATAGTTACTGGAAAAGAGTGGAGGGGTGAACAAATATGTAAACATATATCAACTTCATAGACCTTTCGCTAAACAAATGAATGGGAGGTCTGGATCAAACTACAGCATTATATTACAGCAGAGTGTGTGTTTCCGTGACAGAGGATGGTGTGCGCGCGATGAGAGAGGGAGAGAAGAGACCCTCGGTGAGAAAGGGAAAGAGATAGAGACAGTGTGAGATTTGGGCACCCTTTAAATCGGAATAGGCCATTGTGTAAAATGTATTAAATTGGAAGGAAACAAGTCAAGCTTGCAAGTTTTAATGACATACAATCAGGGCACAACACTGGCACCATTTACCAGAATTATGTACAATAGTTATCTATTGAGAGGCTGCCATTCACTATCCATTTGGCCTGTGGACAGAACGTTTTATTTGCACCCTTCATAAATGCCAGAAACTTTTGAAAAAAATAGAAATACAATCCAAGAAATGAAAAGTCATCTCAAAATGTTTTGGCAACAGTAGTTTTGCTCAATTCAAGTCAAGGTGCTTTGGTCACGTTAGGTCTGACTTAAGCCCCGTTTGAAAAAACTTTAATTTGAATTGAGAAAGTCCAGTGACAGAGTGGGGCTGCCAACACAGGGGGCTCCGCCCAGAGAAACGCAGGACTGTCCACCCAAAAGTTGAACATTGCTCAATCAAACACACGCAAACCCACATTTACCTACAAGCTTGTTCTGTTTTCCTTTTTTGCCGTCCAATATGCCTTTAATTTAAACATTTAATTAAATATATTAATCAGTCACTAAGTGTTTTTTTCTCATATTTTGTTAATCCTTACTGTGGTTTGAACAGCTGCTTATGGTGATGGTTAGGGCGATGTTGAGACAGTCAGCGCTTCTTTAAGGTGAGAGAAACATTGTGATTTTGATTAAATAATAGAAATAGGTCAAGACTGACTGAATGAAACAATGTTCACTTTTTCAATATTTTAATAAAAACACCATCATTTTCTAACCTTTGCAAATACTTTTTGTGGCCCCAACCTAACCACATGTGATACATAGCCTGCATTTTGTAAGTTTAGTATTATATAAATGTAGTTTCTGGGAGGCAGGGTTGTGTGACCTCTCAACATAAGGAACATAAAGTGGTCTTTCTTCAAGTTTGATCTATGACATTACATAAAACATAAAAAATTGCACTTAAACAGCTTTAATATCAAAAGAAAGATCTTAAAAGAATGTCGGTATTCACTCATGTGACACACAGGAAGACAGTAACATATACAAACAGTCAAACTGCACAATAAAACGATAAAAAGGACTCCTTTGTTTAAAGAATCTGTGTAACTCTGCCAGCAGTACAGTTTAAGTTTCCTCTCGCTCCTTTATTTTGTCTCTCTGTAGCTGTAAACACCTTCTCCATTTACATCAAGTTATAGGCCCTGATGCTTTACCTACTGCTTTATAAACCCTCAGAGAAACATGAGGAGCGACGATAAAGCATCCAGTGTGTGTGTGTTCAGCTGGGCGGCTGTGTCTCTGTGCTCATACACACACATATGGCCTATAGGTTGTGAGAAGGACAGAACCTTAAATCACATGGACACCTGGGCGTTGGTTGTTGTCAGATTACCCTCCAGGTAATGATAACACCGGCTTTCTGCTCCATCTTCATCCCAGAAGTGCAAATCAGATTGATGAGGGAAGTCATATCCTTAACAGCCTCTTATACAGCTGCCCCCACTCAGACAGGTAATGGAGACCGAGCCAGCAGGGCGCTTTCTACTGCTCCAAAACCAGGACTCAGCGGGTTCAATACGTTTATTATCTCTCTGCTGCCTGTCTGGGTATACTGTACAGTTTGTTCTTACAGATAATAGGAATCAAACTGGTGATATTTCTTGCTTTTTCTCATTCCAAATGACTGTTTCCAAGAAACTAATGAGCACATCTCTGGTAAACACAATATTTAGAGCGGTGCTTTTGCTCATGTTTCAGTTTTACAGATTTGTTGATGAAACCAACAACTTCACTACATCATATGACTGATAGTGGACTAAATGTCTGAATTCAAGGTCAACCCCAGATTCAAACCACTTGGTTAAACGCTAACGAATATAAAGAGCAAAGGTCATCAAGTCAATGAGCTATATGAGGCCTCAGCAGATGTACTTTCTTCATGCTAACTTCCCTCCAAAATAATGAAAATATCAACAAGCCAAACAGAGGTACAGTGTAGTGCTGCACTTTGTGTACAGTAGGTCATTAAAATGGACTTGGTTCCATGCAGGTGTTTCATAAACTGTAGAGTTTGGATATAAGCGAACAAATGAAAACTAGGCATTTTCTAAAAAAACAATCATCTTTAAACAGGTGTCCATAGCAGACTTTTTTTTTACCACTTTATGTTCTACGCCTTAGTAATGAAATATATAATATGCATTATATTATCCAGCTGCAGTTTAAATTGGTATAAAATGCTTTTTCCAGGCGAACTGTATTTACATTTGGACCATATGCATTTTACAACACGGGCTGCAGTAGGACTATGTCACAGTTAGCGTTTTACATCGACTAAGAATATGGCCTTTAACAAACCAGTGAACAATAACAGGTTGTTCAGGCATCAGCCTGCCAGTGATGCGAGCCATCAGAAAGTGTTTCTATTTTTTTACACTTTGACAAAATAAAGTATTAAAAGTATTTCAGTTTGAACAATAACTTAACTGTTCAAACAGATTGTGGATACAGAACACTACACTGTTGGGGTTGTGTCCATTAAAATGCTCAACCTAATGCCAACATTACTCAATAAATGTGGAAAAAGCCACATTTTTACATCTTAATAGCGCTGTAATTACTCTCCTATTAGTAACAAGATATTTCAGCCTTGGTGTTGCCGAGTAACCAGCAGAAGCAAAGACATGCTGTTCGTCCACAAAGTCAATGAGAAACATGTTTGGTTTGTGCCTCCCCATTAATCTGCACAAGA